ACAACGAATAAAGATTTAAATCGTTAGTCCTTTGAAAGATAATAAGAAGATAATTCTGTATATTCTTAAATCTCAAAAGTCCAGCATATCTAAGTGTGCCACACATTCATTCCGCTTAGAGTGCAAAAAGGCTAAGTTTAGTTTCGGTGAAGTTTTGGTTTTGTTTGCAAATCTTGTTCCAGGGAAATAATTTTGGTATTGATTACAATATCTTTAGTGCTTGAGATATTAAAAAGGTCCTCGAATTATATTTTGTGGCACAAAAACTAAAAAAGATTTTTATCGTATATTCTTTACATATCCCAGGCTCTTATTCTTGGACTAGCTGTCTTTCTAGGAACAACCAAATTTAAAATTTATTGAGTGTAGTACACAAATTGTAGTATACAAAGTGTAGTTCATAAAGTTGTGTACTATGTAGTGTAGTTCATAAAGTTTAATACACAAAGTGTAGTACACAAAGTGAAGTACACAATGAGTAGTACAGAAATTGTAGTATACAAAGTGTAGTTCATAAAGTTGTGTACTACACAATGTGCAGTACACAAAATGTAGTTCATAAAGTTTTATACACAAAGTGCAGTACACAAAGTGTAGTACACAGAGTGTAGCTCACAAAGTTTTGTACACACAGTGTAGCTCAGAAAGTTTTGTACACACAGTGTAGCTCACAAAGTTTAGTACATAGAATGTAGTATACGATATGTAGTACACAAAATGTAGTACACAGTATGTAGCACACAAAGAGTAGTACACAGTGTGTAGTTCACTAAGTGTAGTACACATAGTGTAGTTCACAAAGTGTAGTACGCGTTATGTAGTTCACAAAGTGTAGTACACAAAGTGTAGTTCACAAAATAAAGTACTCAAAATGTAGAACACAAAATGTAGTACACAAAGTGTAGTACTCAAAGTGTAGTACACAAAGTGTAGTACACAAAGTGTAGTACACAAAGTGTAGTACACAAAGTGTAGAACACAAAGTGTAGTACACAATGATTAATTCACCAAGTGTAGTACATTAACTGTAGTTCACAAAATGTATTACATAAAGTTTAGGGCACAGAATGTAGTACACTTTTTATACTTGGAGTACACAAAGTTAAGTACACGAAATATAGTTTTGTATAATTAAGTTGTGAAAACTTCACAGTTCTTTACAAATAATCACTAAAAAACTGCTATAGTACTGCAAGGTTTAGATTTTACTTAAGTTAAAATCGTCTATCACCTTTCACCAAAGCTTAAGAATCATTTCAAAATTAATAAACAACAAAATAATTGACACAATAATTAAGAAATTAAAAGTAATTAGAAATCATAGATTGAGCTAAACTGTAAAAAATTACTCATATTTAACAGCAAAACAACAAAAAAAACACAGAACTAATTAAGTAAAATTAAGCACAAACATAATACAACTTAATAACTAAGTACTACAAACTGAACTAAATGCAATTCCCCTACTCATTTCCAGATCATTGTTACATTGGCTGTCATTGCTAGCGCTGCTGCTGCTCCTGGCTACTTGGGTGGTTATGGTGGTGGTTACGGTGGTCTTCTCGGCGGTCATGGTGGTCTAATTGGCGGTCATGCCATTGCTGCTCCAGCTATTTCATATGCTGCTCCAGCTCCAGCCATTTCTTATGCTGCTCCTGCCATTAAATATGCTGCACCCGCCATTTCTTATGCTGCACCAGCTCCAGCCATTTCTTATGCTGCTCCTGCCATTAAATATGCTGCACCCGCCATTTCTTATGCTGCACCAGCTGTTAAAATAGCTGCTGCTCCCGCCATTTCATACGGTCATGGTTTGAGCGGTTTGGCTTTGGGTGGTCATGGTTTGGGCTATGGTTTGGGTTATGGTCATGGCTGGTAAGCGCCCAAAACAAATACATACATACTGTAATAATGTTTTAAGCAAAAGCAACAATAACAACAAGAAAACAACAATAACAGTATTTAATATTGAGAACGGGTTTGGGAAAGAAATACAGCAAAAAAAAAGGAAGTGTATGGTGTATTTAGTAGCGAGACTGTATACTTTTTGTTTCACAAAAAAAAAAACGAAAAAATCTTTGAAGTTTGAAATGTTTTTTTTTTTTTAATTTTTTTATTATTATTATTATTTTCTTGTTATAATTAATATTTTTTACTTGTTATTTGTAAATTTCCTCGATTATAATTTTTTTTGTGCGAATGTAAATAAAAATTGAAAACTATTTTTTCAAAAATTGGTAAAAAATGGTGTTGTTTTGTTTTAATTTAAAAAGTATTAAAGGAATTCTAGAATTCTTCTTTCACATTTGTTGCTAACATTGTACATTTTCCTTTTGAATCCTAAACACTTTCCATGCCAATCATGACTGCCACTTAAAACAAAAATCTGCATTGAAACTTATTAATATCATAAGAAAATATTCTCTCAATTAAAAATTTCTCCGGAAAATGTTATATCGATTAAGATTTTAAATAGAAAATGTTGTTTCAAATAAGGTGTTCTTTGTAAATTGTTGTCCGAAAATTTTTTTCTATAGAAAATGTTGTCCCAAATTGGATTTTCAAATGGAAAAATTTGTCCTAAAATATTTTGCATTGTACATTTTTTTTTTTCATAAATAAGATTTTCTTTTGGATATTTTGTCCCAAACAAGATTTTTTTTATGAAAATCTTTTAACACACTAGATTTTCTTTAGGAAAATATTGTCCCAAACTAGGTTTTCTATAGAAAATTTTATGTAGAAAAATATTGTGTCAAATTTGAGTTTCTTTAAACAATTTTGTCCCAAATCTGAAATTCCATAGGAATATTTTGTCCAATATTTTCTATAGAAAATTAAGTCCACAATTAGATTTTCTATAAAAAAATTGTGTCCCAAACAATACTTTTTTTTGACAAACCAGATTTTCTGTATAAAAATAAGTCCCAAACAAGAATTTATATAGAAAATTTAGTTCAAAACAAGATTTTGTGTAAAAATGTTTGTCCCAAATTTGTCCCAAAGTATAATTCATATAGAATATAATGTCCCAAATTAGATTTTATATAGAAAATTTTGTCCCAAACAAGATTCTCTATTGAAAATAATGTTCAAAACAGATTTTCTATAGAAAAATATGTCCGAAACAAATTTTTTTTTTTATAGACAATGTTGTACCAAAAGGGATTTTCTATAGAAATTTATGTCACAATAAGAAATTTGATCCCAAACTATATTTTCTATAGAAAATTTAGTTCAACACAAGATTTTCTATGTGCCAAATTTGTCACAAAGTATAATTTATATAGGAAATATGGTCCCACTCCAAATTTTCTATAGAAAATATTGTCCCAAACTTTATTTTCTATTGGAAATTTTGTCCCAAACTGGATTTTCTATAGAAAAATTTGTCCCAAACTAAATTTTCTATTAAAAATTATATCCCAAACAGGATTTTCTATAGAAAATTTTGTCCCAAACTGGATTTTCTATAGAAATTTTTTCACAAACAAGATTTTTTTATAAGAAATTTGGTCCCACACTACATATTTTATGGAAAATTTTGTCCCAAAACTAGATTTTATAAAGAAAATTTTGTCCCAAACGAAATTATCTCAAGAAAATTAAGTTACAAAAAAGATTTTCTATAGAAAATTTTGTGCCAAACAAGATTTTATATAGATGATTTTGTCCCAAACAAGAAAATTACGTGACAAACACGATTTTCTATACAAAATTTTGTCCCAAATCAGATTTTCAATAGAAAATTTTGTCCCAAACAAGAAAATTATGTTCCTATAGAAAATTTTGTCCCAAACAAGATTTTCTATTGAGAATGTTGTCCCAAACTAGATTTTATATAGAAAATTTTGTCCCAAACTAGATTTTATATAGAAAATTTTGTCCCAAACTAGATTTTATATAGATAATTTTGTCCCAATCAAGATTATCTATAGAAAATTTTGTCCCAATCAAGATTTCTATAGAAACTTTTGTTCCAATCAAGATTTCTATAGAAAATTTTGTCCCAAACAAGATTTTCGATAGAAAATTTTGTCCTAATCAAGATTATCTATAGAAAATTTTGACCCAATCAAGGTTATTTTGTCCCAATCAAGATTTACTATAAAAATTTTGTCCCAATCAAGATTTTCTATAGCAAATTTAGTCCCAATCAAGATTTTCTATAGAAAATTTTTCCGAATCAAGATTTTCTATAGAAAATTTTGTCCCAATCAAGATTTTCTATAGAAAATTTTGTCCCAAACAAGATTTTCTATAGAAAATTTTGTCCCAAACAAGATTTTTTATAGGAAATTTTGCCCCAAACAAGATTTTCTATAGGAAATTTTATCCCAAACAAGATTTTCTATAGGAAATTTTGTCCCAAACAAGATTTTCTATAGGAAATTTTGTCCCAAACAAGATTTTCTATAGGAAATTTTGTCCCAAACAAGATTTTCTATAGGAAATTTTGTCCCAAACAAGATTTTCTATAGGAAATTTTGTCCCAAAACAAGATTTTCTATAGGAAAATTTGTCCCAAACAAGATTTTCTATAGGCAATTTTGTCCCACACAAGATTTTCTATAGGAAATTTTGTCCCAAACAAGAAAATTATGTTCCAAACAGGAACAAAATTTTGTCCCAAATTCTATAGAAATTTTTGTCACAAACGAGAAAATTATGTCACAAATAGGACTTTCTATAGGAAATTTTAGAAAAATATTAGAATTTCTGCAGAAAATGTTGTCCCAATTAAAACTGTCTCTCAAAACAGTTGTCCCAAAGGAGAATTTTGAGACAAAATAGATTTTTGATTTAAATTTTGTCTCAAACAATATTTTCAATTCAAAAAGTGGAACCAAATTAGATTTTCTGTTGGTCGCATGGGAAAAAGCAAATAACTACTGTTTAGAAAAACTTGACTCGTACTGACTTTCTATAGGATTTGTTGTCCCAACTAAGTTTTTAAAAAGTCCTTAAATTTCTTATTAAAACTTCACTTTAAATTCTTTGGAGCACACATTTTTGGTGCTAATTGTGCTTTATTGGTTGGTTTAAATTCGATAATTTATAAAATTATTTAGTCATAAACATTTTGGACAATATACTTTTTAAATGATTAAATAAGGTACATATGGATTGAATATGATATAAAAAATATATATATACAAGATGGTTAGTATTATTAATAATATTTATTAAATATATGTATTTTATAATGAGCATGTTTAGCTTAAATAATAATGAATATGACTGTTTATTTGGCAGGTTTAAAATAATTATTTGTGTTTTTTTTTAATGCAATACAAACGATGGAAAGATGATTGATATACAAATGTTTAAAGAAAAATTAAGATATATAATGTGATATCTGATTAAATGCAAGATTTTATGTTTCTTTCAATTATTTCCATAACTCTTCCAATAGAAACATAACTCTCTAATTGCTATTGCAAATATCCTGCTTACCAACCATGGCCACCACCATAACCATGACCGCCATAGAGTCCACCAATGGCAATGCCATGACCATAGCCGCCGCCATAACCATGACCATAACCGCCATAACCTCCGCCTATGTAGGCGGGTGCAGCCACAACGGGTGCTGCAACTACAGGAGCTGCTACTTTAGTCACAGTAATGGGTGCGGCACTAATGGTCTTCGTAATAACAGGAGTAATGGTTTTTGTTATGATGGGCTGGGATACGGCTACTTTGGTTACTACAGGAGCAGCTACAGCAACGGGAGCAGCAGCTATTACAGCGCCACCATAACCACCACCATGACCACCATAGCCGTAGCCGATGCCATGACCACCGCCATAACCATAGCTAAGGCCATGACCTCCGTAACCACCGTAACCGCCATAGCCACCCAAGAAGCCAGCCAAGGAAGATTGGCTACTGCAGAGCACAGCTAGTACTAAGAGGTACTGAAGTAAAGTAAGAAAGAATTAGAATAATTTGAAACAATTTTTAATTTTTTATTTTTTTTTTTTTTTTTATTTTCAACGAAAATTTATATTTTATTTTGCACTTCTTTTTAACAAACTTCCTTATAATCCTTTGATTTTTACTCCTTACTGCCAGGACTTACCAATTTATACATATTGTTGTTTTTTTTAAGTTATAAATTTAACAAAATTTAAAATTATTTTCTTTAATTATTTAAAACAACTTCTTGTACAAATTTTATTTGTAATCTCTTATGCTGTGCCTGTGTCTGCCACAATGTGTTGTGATAAATCTAGTTAAACATCATGCTGTTTTTATACTGGAAAAAGTAAAACAAAATTATTGAAATTCACTTAAAACATAAAACACAAATATCGGTATGTGGTGCAAAATATTTACGAAGTTTCAAATAATTAATGAAATCCAAAAACAAAGAGACACAGAGAAAACATATAGAAACCACAAAAATTAAATGAAAACAAAATCAGGTAAGACAAGCCAAACAAGGATTCAAAAAAATATATAACAAATAAATTTTGGATTTTGTTCCAGTTATAGTACGGATTTCAAGAGAAACTGAAACTAAGCAGCTTACATATGTGTGTAAAAATTGCAAAAACAATTTTGAAATCAAAAACTGTTTCAAATAAAACGATTAGTTGAAACGTTTAGAGACGTTTTAACGCCACTAAATGAAAGTGTAAGTGTCGAGATGGAATAAATAAAGATGTAAGAAAAAACGATCAGTGGGAGATTAAAGACGAATGATAAGTACTCTATATATATGTATGTTTCTACAGAAAATGTTGTCCAAAAAAATTTTGTCACAAATAAGAAAATATTTGTCCCATATAAGCTTTTCTATAGAAAATGTTGTTCCAATAGAGATTTTCTATAGGAAATTTTGTCCCAAACAAGTTTATCAAGAAAATTATAAGAAAATTTAGTCCCAAACAAGATTATTTATAGAAAATTTTGTCCCAAACAAGATTATCTATAGAAAATTTTGTCCCAAAATAGATTTTCTATTAAAAATTTAGTCCCAAACAAGATTTTTTATAGAAAATTTGGTACCAAACAAGATTTTCTATAGAAAATTTTGTCCCAAACTAGATTTTCTATTGAAAAGTTTGTCTCAAACAAGATTTTCAATAGAAAATTTTGTCCCCAACTAGATTTTCTATAGAAAATTTTGTCCCCAACCAGATTTTCTATAGAAAAGTTTGTCCCAAACAAGATTTTCTATAGACAATTTTGACCCAAACAAGATTTTCTATAGAAAACTTTGTCTCAAACCAGATTTTCTATAGAAAAGTTTGTCCCAAACAAGATTTTCTATAGAAAAATTTGTCCCAAACAAGATTTTCTAAAGACAATTTTGACCCAAACAAGATTTTCTATAGAAAAATTGTGTCCCAAACAAGATTTTCTATAGAAAATTTATCCCAAACAAGATTATCAATAGAAAATTTTGTCCCAAACCAGATTTTCTATAGAAAATTTTATCCCAAACGAGATTTTCTATAGAATATTTTGTCCCAAACAAGATTTTATATAGAGTATTTTGTCCAAAACAAGTCAAAAGCAGGATTTTTCATAGGATATTATGTCCTAAACAAGATTTCCTATAGCAAATTTTGTCCCAAACAAGATTTTCTATAGTAAATTTTTTCCCAAACTAGATTTTCTATAGAAAAATGTGTCCTAAAATATATTTTTTATAGAAAATTTTCTCCCAAACAAGATTTTCTATAAAAAATTATGTCCCAAACAAGATTTTCTATAGAAAATTATGTCCCAAACAAGATTTCTATAGAAAATTATGATTTTCTATTGAAAATTTTGTCCCAAACTAGATTTTATATAGAAAACTTTGTCCCGAGTATGAATTGCTATAAGAATTTTGTAAGAATAAAAATTTTCTATACAAAATCTTTTCCTAAACAAGATTTTTTATAGAAAATTTTGTCCCAAAAAAGATTTTCTATGAATAATTTTGTTCTAAAAAAGATGTTCTATAGAAAAATTTGTGCCAATCTGTATTTTTTTATGCAAATTTTGTCCCAAACTAGACTTTCTATAGAAAGTTAATGAATATTTTTTATAAAAAATGTTGTCCTAACTAAGATTTACTATACGAGATGTTGTTCTAAAAAAAAATTTGTTCCAAATATCATTTTCCAAAGCATTCTTTCCCAAATTAGACTTATTAGAGAAAGTTGTGACCCAACCTGGATTTTCTATAAAATGTTTTTTTCCAAACTAGATTTTATATCTATTTTTTCCAAACAAAATCCCTAAATTACGACAAATCACCAACATCATCCTAAAACATGTAGGTGTACTATAATAAACCAACAACAAAAAAATAGAAACAAAAAACCAAATAGGAAAAGCGTCCGACATAAAAGCAAAATGAGGAAAAACTAGAGGAACCACTTTAAGAAAATGTGTGGAAATAGAGTTAATTATAACAAGATATTTTTACAAATAAAAAAAAAATATAAAACAAAATCAAACGATTATTTAATACACAATGAAAACACATTTTTACATCATACACACAACAACAACAAGAAAAACAGGCATATTGTCACAGGCAACAGCTGCCATCATATCGTTGTCGCATTATCAAAAAGGCCAATGTATCATGGAACAAGTTGAAGCCAGTCATAAAATGGATTAGGTTAGTGGTTTAACTAGACAATTGAAGCACGAAACAACAACAGCAACAACAACAAAACAACTAAATCAAATGATTTACAATCGATACAAAATCGAAACAACTGAAATAGTATTTCGTATGCGAACATTTTAAAAGTGACCAACACACACACACACACCAGTTCAAAAACTGATGATGGTGATTTAATTTAATTTCAATGAATTTGCTGTGTTTGTGTTGCAGTTTTTCATATTTCAAGCAAAATGGTAACGTAAACGTTTGCAAAATTATTATTCCATGTGGCCTTTTAAGGATGGACTTAGCTACAAAACACATTTGCCATCCCCCTATATCTCTACAAAGAGTTTTTCATCTCTCAGTTGTTACCAAGTCACACAATACGTTTGATTTTTACAATATATTGGGTGTATGCTGGTATTGAGGCTGGTGTGGTCTGATCATATTTGCCCCAAAACCAATACCACCAAAACTACAACTTTATTGGAAATACATACATATAAGTTGTGGTAAAGTGTTTTTTCGGCTTTAAAGTGGCAAGTAAACATGTCATGAGTCTATTACATTTTCTGTCTTTTATTGTGTAATCGGTCCAGAGCGTGTGTTTCTTCGCCCATTTACTGGCTATAATAATCCAGTTATAGAAAGGCTTCATACTTAATATGTATATGATAAAATATATATTAGTTGTTTAATATTTAGTTTTTTTGTTTTTGTTTTTTGCTTTTTAAAATTTAGTTTAATATAAATAAATGTATAAATAGTGGTTTTTCTTTTCAATTCAATAGATTATGTCGGATATTTTTAATCCATTTGCCAGCAAACGGCATTTACATTTAAGTTTTTTCTGCGGTTTTTTATTTATATATTACAAAAAAAAAAAAGGTGGAAAAAAACTATTTTGATTTACATACGCAATTATTTTTATTTATGTTTAAAGACGTTTGACATTAATGGATTTCTATTGCTGCAACATTTATGTCAGATTTTAGCACATTTTCACATATGGAAGTTTATAGGGGACTGGTCGAAAATGTTTATTCTTTTAAAACAATTACATTCAGAATTCTGCCTTTATATCAATTGCTAAATGTTTTCAATAAGAAAACTTACATCGAAAATACTCATTGTGGAACCTTACATTAAATTCGAAGAAAGCTTTCAAGGTTTCTTACATTGACTTCGATGAAAGTTTTTAATAAGAAACCTTACATCAAGTTTGATGAAAATATTCAATGAGGAACCTTACATCGAATTCGAAGAAAGTTTTTGAAAGAAACTTTTCATCGATTTTGATAAAAGCGATAAGAAAGTTTTCATAGAATTCGATTTAAGTTTTCAAAAGGAAACTTTACATCGTTCTCGATTAAAGTTTTCAAAGTTTTAAATAATAAACTTTTCATCGATTGCTATGGATGTTGTTAATAAGAACATTTTTCTATAAAAAAACTTTTACATCGATTTCCATCAAAATTACTTGTGTAGAAAAGCTGAGGAGGCTCTGAATACGGTCTTGAGCTGGGCTCAACCGAGAAGCCTCAATGTTGACCCGGCGAAGACGGAAATATGTATTTTCACAAGAAAAATGTCTACAAAGTTAAGTACTTAGGTGTAATCCTCGACCGGAAATTTAAATGGAGTCACCACATAGTGGATAGGATCAACAAGGCACATCGCTGTTGGACGATATGTAGGAGAACTTTAGGCATGAAATGGGGACTTAGTCCTACTATGACAATAATCTGGTGGACCGCTTTGGACAAAAAGTGTAATATCAAACTACTACAGGGAGTTCAGCGTACATGCTTCTTGGGTATAAGTGCTGCCATGTGTACTATTTCAACCAAAGCTCTAGAAACGTTGCTAGATATTCCAGAGCTTTGACGAACTGGCCAAAAGCGGTTATGGAACACATCATCAATGTATACTGGACACATTAGAAGGTTATACACAATCATCGGATGTGCCTCATCACATACCAGACAAAGAATATGTCGGAAACTTTGAAACGCTAATCCCAGAAGCGGAATACTAGAGCAAATATCAGTAAGAATCCCTTGTTACACGGATGGCTCTAAATTAATGGATAAAGTGGGCCTGGGTTCTATATTGAAGACCCAAAACCAGAAATATGACACCGTTTACCTAATCATAACATAAGCTTCCAGGCAGAAGCCCGAGCAATAACGGAATGTGTAAATTGGATTAGAATAAATATGGCGCCCACAGGGCTTAATATATATATAACGACAGCCAGTAGGCAATTAGGGCGATATCAAGTGATAGAATTAAATCTAAGAATGTATTGGATTGTAAGAAATCTTTAACTGAATACTCTCCCAGAGGTAGGATTTACATCATATGGGTACCAGGCCACTCGGGAGTAGTCGGCAACGAAAGTGCGAATGTAATATCTTTAAAGGGAAGGGAGCTCGAGGTAGTTAACCTGGCAAACGCAAAACCATTCGACGCAACAAAATCTGAATTAAAAATATGGATGAAAGAATCCCATAAGGCCTCTTGGAATAATGAAATGGTGAGTAGAACCACAAAGATCCTATGGGACGACCCTGATGAGAACAAGACCAGAAATCTCCTCAAAATGAGCGGAAAACTACAGCAAATACCAGTAGGAATCCATTGTTACACGGAAGGCTTCAAATGGGGGGATAAAGTGGGGTTCTATATTGAAGACCCAGAAATAAACCACCGTTTACCTAATCATAGCACAAGCTTCCAGGCAGAAGTCTGAGCAATAACGGAATGTTATTTTGGATTATAATAAATATGGCGCCCACAGGCCTTAATATATTTGCCGACAGCCAGAAGGCAATTAGGAAGATATCAAGTGATAGAATTAAATCTAAGACCGTATTGGATTGTGAGAAAGCTTTAACTGAATATTCTCCCACAGGTAAGGTTTGCATCATATGGGTACCAGGCCACTCGGGAGTAGTCGGCAACGAAAGGGCAAATGTAATAGCTTTAAAGGAAAGGGACCTCGAGGTAGTTAACCTGACAAACACAAAACCATTAGACGCAACATAAGCTGAATTAAAAATATGGATGAGAGAATGCCATAAGGCCTCTTGGGATAATGAAACGGTGGGTAGAACCACAAAAATCCTATGGCACGACCCTGATGAGAACAAGACGAGAAATCTCCTCAAAGTCTGAAGTAAGTATGATGGTACGAGCACATCTATATAAAATTGGCTGGGCGGATTCAGACGAATGTAGAGCATGTGGAGAGGAAAGTGAATCACTGGAGCACTTTCATTACCACTGTCAGGCATTCGTCGAAGTTAGATCCAAGTATCTTGGAAATGTTGTTATTCCGGAAATAACATTCCTGACTAACACTGATTGGAAAATTCTTAGGATTTTTTTCACGAAAAGAAGCGCACAACAGTCCCGATAGTGGCCTAGGTGTATTTCTTCGGCTTTGATGTACTATACATCCTCCTATCAACCTATCCTAACCTTATATAAAGAAACTTTTACATCGAACAATTTTCTATAAGATTTCGATGAAAATTTTTCTATAAAGAAACTTTACCATCGATTTCGATGAAAAATTTTCTTTAAAGAAACTTTTCCGTCAAGTTCGATGATCATTTTTCATCATTTCCATAAAGAAACTTCCTATCACTTGCGATGAAAAATGTTCTATAAAGAAACTTTACCATCGATTTCAATGAAAAATTTCTATAAGAAATTTGGTTAAATATATTTCTCATAAATAAATTGGACTTAATAACTTTGTCACTTAAGCTGTGATTATACGGAACTGCAATAAATATTGCTACCATATAAAATTTGCAAACATAATTTTAAACCTAAATTTATTAATATCAAAGTTTAACTAAATCACAAGAAATACACAAAAGATTAAATCGGCCCAACATAAAATTAACATTAATAGTTTTAAAAATTTATTTATGAATAGAATTCATTAATAAAAAAATTTGCAATATTTTCTAATCATAACGACAAAAAGTCAATCAAAATGATTGTTGGAAAAAAACTAACATAATTTATAAGTTAATGTTATTAATAATATTATCAAAAGCGGATTTATGGTAAATTTGTGTCAAACTGATAAAAATGTCAAACACCTTTAGTTTTTATTTGTTCGCTTTTTTTCAGTTGCTGTAACGTGTGCAGTATTGACATAAAAATCTAATGACCAGACAGAGATCGGCTTTGGAGACAAAAAAAAAAAAAAAAAAACACACAAAAAACTTTAAACAAATGCAGTCACATGCAAATTATTTAAACTTGAACTTGAAATAATGGTAAACAAATTGACCAACTGGTTTCGATTTGTTTGCTTCAGAAAAAAAAACAACACTTGTTGAAGTTTTATATTAATAAATAATTGGTAATAATTTTATTAACAGTTACTTTTTGTGGGAGGGGAGATACTTAAAACTAAAAATGAAAGTGGGAATTTTGAAAAAAAGTGAAATAAATTAAATGGCTTGGAAGTGCATAGCTAATTGGCTTAAAAAAACAACTTAATTAATTAAGTGTTTACCAGGCAGCATAAGAGGGGGCGGCAGCAAAGGTAGCTGGACCAGTGAAAGCTACTTTGGAGGGGGCTGCAGCAAAATTAACAGGGGCGGGAGCAGGGACAGCCGAAGCAAAAGCTACTGAGGAGGGAGCAAAACCAACTTTACCAGGGGCAGCAAAAGCTACAGAACCGGGAGCAAAAGCAGGAGCGGAGGCATAAGCAGGACCAGCAGCATAAGCTGGTCCATAGGCAGCTGCGGCATAAGCAGGAGCAGCAGCATAAGCTGGGCTATAGGCAGGAGCGGCGTAAGCAGGGGTAGCACCATAAGTAGGAGCATAGGCAGCATAAGCAGGGCCAGCAGCAAAACCTACTGGAGCGGCTGGGAAATCTAATTTCCCAGGAGCAGCGAAACCAAAGGGTGTGGCAAATCCTACTTGATTACCAGCAGCAAAAGGAACTTGAGCTGGTGCGGCAGTAGTAGGGGCAGGTGCTTGACCAGCAGGATTTGTACCGGGAGCTTGAGGAGCAGAGGCTGGAGTGGGGGCAGCGGCAGGAGTGGGAGCAGCAGCTGGGGTAGGAGGTACAGCTGGTATAGGAGCAGCAACTGCAGCTGGGGTGGCGGCAACAGCGGGAACAGCTACTTTAGCAGCGCCAGCAGGATAGGCTACAGCATGATTGATGGTATGAGCATTAAAGGTAGAGGCAAAGGTAGAATAACCACCAGCACGAGCTTGTGTAGCGAACAAGGCAAGAACAGCAAAGATCTAAACAGACAATTTGAGAGATTTGGATTTAGAAGTTTAATTATTTCCAATACAGAAACTTATTTTCCATAGAAAATGTTATGTAAAACGATTTTTTTACAGAAAATTTGGTGTATAACAGTATTTTCTATAGAAAATTTTATGTATAGCAGTATTTTTCATAGAAATTTTGTGTATAACAATATTTTCAATGGAAATTTTTGACAAAAATGTTTGTGTATAACAGTATTTTCTACAAAAATGTTTGTGTATAACAGTATTTTCTATAGAAAATTTTGTGTATAACAGTATTTTCTATAGAAAATTTTGCGTATAACAGTATTTTGCGTATAACAGTATTTTCCATAGAACATTTTGTGTATAACAGTATTTTCCATAGAACATTTTGTGTATATCAATTTTCTATAGAAAATTTTGCATATAACAGTATTTTCTGTATAGCAGTATTTTCTATAGAAAATTTTGCGTATAACAGTATCTTCTATAGAAAATTTTGTGTATAACAGTATTTTCTATAGAAAATTTTGTGTATAACAATATTTTCTATAGAAAATTTTGTGTATAACAGTATTTTCTATAGAAAATTTTGTATATAACAGTATTTTCTATAGAAGGTTTTGTGTATAACAGTATTTTCTATAGAAGGTTTTGTGTATAACAGTATTTTCCATAGAACATTTTGTGTATAACAGTATTTTCCATAGAACATTTTGTGTATAACAGTATTTTCCATAGAACATTTTGTGTATATCAATTTTCTATAGAAAATTTTGCGTATAACAGTATTTTCTATAGAAAATTTTGTGTATAGCAGTATTTTCTATAGAAAATTTTGTGTATAACAGTATTTTCTATAGAAAATTTTGTGTATAACAGTATTTTCTATAGAAAATTTTGTGTATAACAGTATTTTCTATGGAAAATTTTGTGTATAACAGTATTTTCTATAGAAAATGTTCTGTATAACAGTATTTTCTATAGAAAATTTTGTGTATAACAGTATTTTCTATAGAAAATGTTGTGTATAACAGTATTTTCTATAGAAAATTTTGTGTATAACTGTATTTTCTATAGATAATTTTGCGTATAACAGTATTTTCTATAGAAAATTTTGTGTATAACAGTATTTTCTATAGAAAATTTTGTGTATAACAGTATTTTCTATAGAAAATTTTCTGTATAACAATATTTTCTATAGAAAATCTTGTGTACAACGCTGTGTATAACACTGTTTTCTATAAAAAAAATTTGTGTATAACAACTCTTTCTTTATAAAATTCTCTATAAAAAATTTAGTGTATAACACTTTCATCTATATAAAATTTTGTGTATAACACTATTTTCTATAGAAAACATTGTGTATAACACTGTTATCTTTAAAAAACTTTGTGTATAACACTATTTTCTATAGAAAATTTAGTTTGTAACACAATTTTTAATAGAAATTGTTGCGAATAACAGTTTTATTTATAGAAAATTTTGTGTATAACAGTTCTACGGAAAATTTTGTGTATAAAACTGCTGCAAGAAACTTACCACAAATTTAGCAGCCATTTTTTTAGGATTAGTAAAATAGGGAAATAAAAGTAACTGTTAAAGGGATGTGTTTAGTAAGAAAACAAAACAAGTTATGATGACCAAACTATCACCTCAATTGCATTTTATAATCATACCAAAATTTCCGAACTAAATACCCATAATAAAAACAAATACTAAAACTAAAAATTCACTTCAATTTGTACTTTCTTTGCATAACAATTGATTTTTTGTTTTAATTTTTGGTCAAAATCTTTAAAGGTCTTTAACGTTGGCAAAAAAAAAGTAACAAATAAAAAATTGACAGTCACCTATATTAAAATGTCTTAAAAGAGGTTAAATAATGTAATACTTTCCTGCTTTCAATCAGTCTATTATTTACCACTTTTTTTTTTTTGAAGACAATTGCAAAAATTTTAAAACCTGCATTTATAAACATTGTGCATACAAAAATTATATGCTTTCTGTTGTTGGTTTAATGCATTAACTGAAAAATAAAAATTTCATAATAATAAATAAAACACACACATTGGGTGTTATTTTTTTGGTCTGTTACTATTTTTGGTAGCGATTACTGAATTTAAATAAAAGTAAAACATTTAATTTGTTCACTTTTCTTTTCAGCTGGGAGCTACACAGAAAAATAAGTTATGGTTGATTTCATAGAATGTTTAAAGGGAAGTTTCTTTTAGAAAATTTCGAAATCGATGGAAAAATTTTTTTATAGAAAACTTTTTCGAAATCGATGTAAAAGTTTCTGTATAGAAAATTTCGAAATCGAAATCGATAAAAAGTTTTTTGTAGAAAATGTTTCATTGAAAACGATGGAAAAGTTTCTTTATAGAAATATTTTCATCGAAATCGATGGAAAAACTTCTTTATAGAATATTTCGAAATCGACGGAAAAGTTTCTTTAAAAAAAATTTCGAAATCGATAGAAAACTTTCTTTATAGAAAAATGTTCATCAAAATTGATACAAAGGTTTCTTTATAGTAAATTTTTCATCGAAATCCTTGGAAAAAAATTTTGAAACCGAAATTTCTTTATAGAAAATTTTTATCAAAATCGATGAAAAACTTTCTTTATAAAAAAATTTCGTAATCGAAATCGATGGAAAAGTTTATTTATAAAAAATAGTTTATTGAAATCGATGGAAAGGTTCCTTTACAGAAAATTTTTCCTTAAAATTGATAAAAAAGTTTCTTCACAGAATTTTTTTTATCGATTTCGAAGAAAAATTTTTTTATAGAAGATATTTATCGAAAGTTTCTGTATAGAATATTTCGAAATAGAAATCGTTGGAAAAGTTTCTTTATAGAAAATGTTTCATCGAAATCGATGGAAAAGTTTCGTTATATATAATTTTTCATAGAAATCGATGGAATGTTTTCGTTATAGAAAGTTTTTCATCGATATCAAAATCGGTAGAAAAGTTTCTTTATAAAAAATTTTTCTTATTAAAAACTTTCATCGAAAACTTTTCATCGATTTTGATGGAAAAGTTGCTTTGTAGAAAAATTTTCATTGAAACCGATGGAATAGTTTCGTTGAAGAAAGTTTTTCTTCGATATCGATGGAATACTTTTGTTATAGAAAATTTTTTTATGAAATTGTTTAATCGAAATCGATGGTAATGTTTCTATATAGAAAATTTCGAAAACGAAATCGATGGAAAAATGTCGACATCGATGGAATACTTTTTTTATAGAAAGTTTTTTTATGAAATTGTTTAATCAAAATCGATGGTAATGTTTCTATATAGAAAATTTCGAAAACGAAATCGATGGAAAAATTTCGGTATAGAAAATTTCGAAATCAAAATCAATATACAAATTTCTTTATAGAAAATGTTTATCAAAATCGATGGAAAAGTTTCTTATAGAAAATTGTTCATCGAAATCGATGAAAAGTTTCATTATGGACAATTTTTCATCAATTTCGATGAACATTTTCCATCTAAATCGATGTATAGTTGCTCATAGAAAATTCTCATCGGTATCGATGCTGATTTGCTTTGAAATCGATGTAAAATTGCTCAAAAAACATTTTCATCGCAATCGATGTAAAGTTTCATCTCAATTGATGTAAACTTTCTTTAGAAATTTTTCATTGAAATCGAAAATTTTCATTGAATTTGATGTAAAGTTTCTTATAGAAAGTTTTAATCGCAATCAATGTAAAGTTTTGTATAGAATATTTTTCAATGAATTCAACTGAAATCTCAGTAGAAAGAGTTGAGCCATTTAATCGTCTAAAGTAGAGTATCTTCCAATTCCCCTTAACCCTCACTATTCCCCCTCTAAAAGTCGTAATATTAAAAGTTTCTTAATTTAGTTTTATTTACTCATTTACAAAACGTAACTGTGTTGCTGTTACTTTTGATGTTGGTTTTGTTTTTATTATAATTTGAAATGCATTTTTCTGGTTGTCGCTTTATGGAGGCGATATACGATGGTTGGTAAATGACTAAATACTGCTGCGGTAATTTTATGCATGTTTTAGGACATGTTTTGAATTTTTAACTATTTTTTTTTTTTTAATTTTTAAATAGCGACTTAAGTGTAAATTAAATTGTGTGTATGAAGCACTTTTATTTTTGTTTAAAACATTGCGTGTAATCGGTATGTGGTTTATATGTTATCAACTATTTTTTTACTTTATAGTTTTTTTGGAAGCTATAAAAATGCGCTAAAAAATAAAGGATAAGGAGATATTTTAGATGCCCTGCATTGCTTGTCGCTTTACTAGTAACAAGCAACAAGTCTTGAACTCGTAACACTTAAACTGATAGACTAGAACTGTCTGCTTGCTAGTCTTTAGTCGTCTCATACTCTTCTTTTAAGGAAAAAAATTATTTTTGAGTTATTAAATTTTAATAAAAAAATTACCAGTGTTACTGACGTTTCACTAGATCACCAAATTACATAACATAATATTTCTTATAGGGTGCTTATCTCAGCAGGTTGATAGTGGTAAAATTGTTGAAATGGTATTATAGTAGTCTTAAATTTTACCTAATAACTTAATTCTAAATTAACTACTTAAATACATATTTTTCATATTTTCTTTAAAATTGCAAAATTAATTAGACATTAAAAATACCACTTTAAATTTATTACGTAAATATTTGACTGCAATTAAAATAGTGCAAAAAATTCAATATTTTGTAACATAATAAATTAACTATTAAGCAATAAGAATAGGCTGCGTTTCTGGTTTGGCACTAATCAGACATGTAATGTATATAAATTAATAATATATTGATTTTCTAAACAGAATCTAGATGTTGTTATTTAAACTAGAATCATAGCCGGAAGTCAAGTCTTTTGGCAAGTAGATAATTTTATAGTATTAAACAAGGAGCTCCTATATTTGGTTATTTTGGACTGCTCGTTTTATTAGATTTTTGTTGACTAGACTATAGACTAGATTTTTCCTTTCATTAGATTTTTGTTGACTAGAACTATAGACTAGACTATAGACTAGACTATAGACTAGACTATAGACTAGACTATAGCTAGACTATAGACTAACTATAGACTAGACTATAGACTAGACTATATACTAGACTATAGACTAGGCTATAGACTAGGTTATAGACTAGACTATAGACTAGACTATAGACTTGACTATAACTAGACTTAGACTAACTATAGACTGGATTATAGACTAGACTATAGATTAGACTATAGACAGACTATAGACTTGACTATAGACTAGACTATAGACTAGACTATAGACTAGACTATAGACTAGACTAGAGACTAGACTATAGACTAGACTATAGACTAGACTATAGACTAGACTATAGATACTATAGACAGACTATAGACTAGACTATAGACTAGACTATAGACTAGACCTATAGACTAGACTATAGACTAGACTATAGACTAGACTATAGACATAGACTAGACTATAGACTAGACTATAGACTAGACTATAGACTAGACTATAGACTTGACTATAGACTAGACTATAGACTAGACTATAGACTAGACTATAGACTAGACTATAGACTAGACTATAGACTAGACTATAGACTAGACTATAGACTTGACTATAGACTAGACTATAGACTTGACTGTAGACTAGACTATAGACTAGACTATAGACTAGACCATAGACTAGACTATAGACTAGATTATAGACTAGACTATAGACTAGACTATAGACTAGACTATAGACTAGACTATAGACTAAACTATAGACTAAACTATAGACTAGACTATAGACTAGACTATAGACTAGACTATAGGCTAGACTATAGACTAGACTATAGACTAGACTATAGACTAGACTATAGACTAGACTATAGACTGGACTATAGGCTAGACTATAGACTAGACTATAGACTAGACTATAGACTAGACTGTAGACTAGACTATAGACTGGACTATAGACTAGACTATAGACTAGACTATAGACTAGACTATAGACTAGACTATAGACTAGACTATAGACTAGACTATAGACTAGACCATAGACTAGACTATAGACTAGACTATAGACTAGACTATAGACTAGACTATAGACTAGACTAGACTATAGACTAGACTATAGACTAGACTATAGACTAGACTATAGACTAGACTATAGACTAGACTATAGACTAGACTATAGACTAGACTATAGACTAGACTATAGACTAGACTATAGACTAGACTATAGACTAGACTATAGACTAGACTATAGACTAGACTATAGACTAGACTATAGACTAGACTATAGACTAGACTATAGACTAGACTATAGACTAGACTATAGACTAGACTATAGACTAGACTATAGACTAGACTATAGACTAGACTATACTAGACTATAGACTATATAGACTAGACTATAGACTAGACTATAGACTAGACTATAGACTAGACTATAGACTAGACTATAGACTAGACTATAGACTAGACTATAGACTAGACTATAGACTAGACTATAGACTAGACTATAGACTAGACTATAGACTAGACTATAGACTAGACTATAGACTAGACTATAGACTAGACTATAGACTAGACTATAGACTAGACTATAGACTAGACTATAGATTAGACTATAGACTAGACTATAGACTAGACTATAGACTAGACTATAGACTATGACTAGACTATAGACTAGACTATAGACTAGACTATAGACTAGACTATAGACTAGACTATAGACTAAACTATAAACTAGACTATAGACTAGACTATAGACTAGACTATACTAGACTATAGACTAGACTATAGACTAGACTATAGACTAGACTATAGACTAGACTATACTAGACTATAGACTAGACTATAGACTAGACTATAGACTAGACTATAGACTAGACTATAGACTAGACTATAGACTATAGACTAGACTATAGACTAGACTATAGACTAGACTATAGACTAGACTATAGACTAGACTATAGACTAGACTATAGACTAGACTATAGACTAGACTATAGACTAGACTATAGACTAGACTATAGACTAGACTATAGACTAGACTATAGACTAGACTATAGACTAGACTATAGACTAGACTATAGACTAGACTATAGACTAGACTATAGACTAGACTATAGACTAGACTATACTACTAGACTAGACTATAGACTAGACTATAGACTAGACTATAGGCTAGACTATAGACTAGACTATAGACTAGACCATAGACTAGACGTGGTATTTTTCGATAAAAAAAGGTACCTACGGAAAAAGTACTTGAGTACTGAATTTTCCATACCTGAGGCTAATAACAAAAATTGGCAATGTTAAAATAAGATGTTAAATGTTCCTCGATTAATTTATAATTAGCAATATTTGTAGGGTAAGTCGACAAAATAGGAACTCAATAGAAAAAAAATCCAAAAATGCATAATTTAAAATCTATTATTAGTTGAAAATTTCCTCACTTACCTTTAAAATTTCCTCTGTAGGTGTTAGCTAACATCTTTAAACAAATTTAAAGAAAAAAGATTAACGACCGAACCGTTTCCCGTTTAATTTACTTTATTGACAATATGGGCAACTCTATTGCCCTTTAGCATTACAATAAAACCAACAATAACACTTGTTGACAAAATATAAAGATTACACTTTTTTCTTTATTCTTACATCTTTACTTTATGCCTTTTCTTATTTATTTATAATATGGGCAACTCTACTGCCTCTACTTCATTACACTAAAAACAACAAAACACTTGTTGTCAAAATATAAACATTGCACTTTTTTCTTTATTCTTATATTTCGATTTCTACTTTTACTTTATGCTTTTTCTTAATGCTCTGCTTTAGTAAATATTTTACTCTTTTTATTTTTTTATGCTCTTCTTTTTTAAGAAGAAAAAAACAACAACACTAACCAAATTTTAATGCAAATCACGACAAGCTCAACCCACACTGACACAATCTCTGTGTAAAGGGCTTTTGCATAGAAAAAAACACAACAACAATATTAAACAAATACCCGTAACTACAAGAACAACAAAGGAACAAGTGCAGACGCACTTATTTTTTTACTTTGAGACTTCTTTTTTTTCACTGAATGATTTTCATAATAATTTGATTTTAACACTAAATTACAATTTATTTACACTTCTTAATAGATTTTTTACTAGATTACTTTGTTGAGATAAATATTTAGGGATTTTATAAGATTTAGAACACTTTTACTATAATTAAAACAAACTAAAAGACGGACGACAAATTTTAACGTGTTTATTTAGAGGTAACCGCGTGAGAACTAAATAAATTCCTTACTACGGCAGAGTTGCCAGTGAAGAGAGAGATTTGTTAGAGAGAAGGATTTCATTGATAAATTTAGGATTTTAATGCGGAAATGGAAAATAATAGTGAGGATTTTATTTGTTAAATTGGGAGTTTAATGGAAAAAGAAAAGTTAATATTTAGTTAGTTAGTTAGTTAGTTAGTTAGTTCGTTCGTTCGTTCGTTCGTTAGTTAGTTAGTTAGTTCGTTTTAGTTAGTTCGTTAGTTAGTTCGTTCGTTGTTCGTTCGTTCGTTCGTTTTCGTTCGTTCGTTCGTTCGTTCGTTCGTTCGTTCGTTCGTTCGTTCGTTCGTTGTTCGTTCGTTCTTCGTTCGTTCGTTTCGTTCGTTCGTTCGTTCGTTCGTTCGTTCGTTCGTTCGTTCGTTCGTTTTCGTTCGTTCGTTTTCGTTCGTTCGTTTCGTTCGTTCGTTCGTTTCGTTCGTTCGTTCGTTCGTTTCGTTCGTTCGTTGTTCGTTCGTTCGTTCGTTCGTTCGTTCGTTCGTTCGTTCGTTCGTTCGTTCGTTCGTTCGTTCGTTCGTTTTCGTTCGTTCGTTGTCGTTCGTTCGTTCGTTTCGTTCGTTCTTCGTTCGTTCGTTCGTTCGTTCGTTCGTTCGTTCGTTCGTTCGTTCGTTCGTTCGTTCGTTCGTTGTTCGTTCGTTCGTTCGTTCGTTGTTCGTTCGTTCGTTCGTTCGTTCGTTCGTTCGTTCGTTCGTTCGTTCGTTCGTTCGTTGTCGTTTCGTTTCGTTCGTTCGTTCGTTCGTTCGTTCGTTCGTTCGTTCGTTCGTTCGTTCGTTCGTTCGTTCGTTTGTTCGTTTTCGTTCGTTTCGTTCGTTCGTTCGTTCGTTCGTTCGTTCGTTCGTTCGTTCGTTCGTTCGTTCGTTCGTTCGTTCGTTCGTTCGTTCGTTCGTTCGTTCGTTCGTTGTTCGTTCGTTCTCGTTTTCGTTCGTTCGTTCGTTCGTTCGTTCGTTGTTCGTTCTTTCGTTCGTTCGTTCGTTTCTTCGTTCGTTCGTTCGTTCGTTCGTTCGTTCGTTCGTTCGTTCGTTCTTCGTTCGTTTCGTTCGTTCGTTCGTTCGTTCGTTCGTTCGTTCTTCGTTCGTTCGTTCGTTCGTTCGTTCGTTCGTTCGTTCGTTCGTTCGTTCTTCGTTCGTTCGTTCGTTCGTTCGTTCGTTCTTATGTTCGTCGTTCGTTAGTTCGTATCGTTCGTGTCGTTAGTTCGTTCGTTCGTTTCGGTTAGTTAGTTTCAGCCTATAGCCCGCCTACCTAGACTCAGCCTCCGCCTCACTATAGAACTCGCCGCTCCCACTCAGCCTACTCGCCTAGACAATAGACTAGTTAGTTAGTTAGTTAGTTAGACTATAGACCAGACTACTAGCTATAGACTAGACTAAACTATAGCTAGACTATAAACTAGACTATAGACTAGACAATAGACTAGACTATAGACTAGAATATAAACTAGACTATAGACTAGAATATAAACTAGACTATGACTCGACTATAGACTAGACTATAGACAAGACTATAGACCAGACTATAGACTAGACTAAAGACTAGACTATAGACTAGACTGTAGACTAGCTTATAGGCTATTCTATACAATAGACTATAGACTAGACTATAGACTAGACTGTAGACTAGACTATAGAGTAGACTATAGACTGGACTATAGACCAGACTATATTGTAAAATACTCTCCTTTAGCGTATAGTAGATAAAGTTTTGTTTTTATCTAAAACATTTTTTTTATAATTTTTAATATTTTTTTTTTATTTAAAAATTTTCTTAACAAAAAATATTAACATTATTTGTTAAATTAAATTATAAAACTAAATAACATTAAAACTTTGGTATACAATTTACATAGACTTTGGTATGAAGAATACATGATTTTTAATAAATACACACACATAAATATTTGGGATAAAGTATTAATTCTAATGAAATCCTTTTGCAAAGGAAAAGGTGAAATTTCTAGAAAAGTGTATGATGATGATGATGAGCCAATGTCAAAGGTGCAGCATGGAGATGAGCATGAGGCACAGCATGTACATGATGGGCATGTAGTTTAGCTAAACGTGGTTGGGGGAAAGCATAACCAACAGACACATGATGAGTGGTGGTTTTAGGTCCAGGAATAGCGCGATAGCTGGGTAGGGGTTCTACGAAGGGTAGGGCTTCAAAGACCGGAGGAAGGATGGGAGTGGGGGCAGGTACAACATGAGTGTGAATCAAAGGAGCTGGAGCAGGGACTACATGAGCGGGGGCGGGGAGGAAATGTGTGGGAGCTGGCAACAATGGTGCGGGAGCTGGTAGCAATGGAGCAGGAGCGGGCAACAAAGGTGCAGGAGCGGGCAACAAGGGAGCTGGGGCTGGAAGTAAAGGAGCAGGAGCTGGTAGAACAGGAGAAGCATGGAAATGTGCGGGTGGTAAAAATTTAGCGTGATGGTGATGAGGTAGCAAAGGTCCAGCAGCATGGAAGTGAGCTGGTGGTAATACTGGTGGCACTAAATCCAAATGATCGGGTACTCCATGGAAACCATAGGGAAGAGAAGGTTTAGCCTGGGCCAATACAACAGCTAAAGCTAGCAAGGCAAAAGCCTAAAAGAGAAATTGTTTAAAAGTTAATTAATAATAATTGTATTCATTGAAAAAACATTAAAAAACTTACCACTTTAACATGCATCATCTTGTTTAGTTTTGTAAACTTAAATCCCCTTTAAATTAAATTTTTTGTATGACAGACAACTCTTTGTCTATGCAAATGATGTGAAACTAATGAATTATTAATTATTGCACTGCAATTTATACTCAAAACACCTGTTTAAAACAAAGTTTTGATTGTTAATACAATTTGAATCACCCACCCATGTAATATGCAAGCTTCCTAAAAATTATTAATAATTTTTCAAACAAATATTACTTTACGATTATTGCTTAACCGCTACCAAAAGTTCCTTTAAAACATTTAAGCCACCCACCCAATAATAGGCCCACCATATTTGGTTCCACTAATTTTTGGGTGTGTTACCAACTCTTTGACTATTTGAAACAAACAAACAAACCAACGCACACAATTTATTTAGCCACTTTGTCTACTAAGTAAGTAAAATTTGTTATGAAAATATATGATTAAAAGCCGCATGGCAGAGTGCGTGATTATAATTTGTTCAAAATGTCTGTGAAATAAGTCGTGACTAATGCATTCGTTTGGCCTACAAAAACGCTAGAAATTATAAAACAAAATAACGAAAACAAAAATCAAAGAATTGTTTAAGTCTTAGCCAAGTTGTATAGAAAATTTTCAATAAATTTTACAGTTGTTGTTGTTTTTCTATTTTTTTTTTGTTTTTGTAGTGGCTCTACAATTATGGTGTTTTGGGTTAATAACCCAATTAAATTTTGTAGTACGTTTCCAATTTATTGTTTTTTTTTTTCTTGTAGTAAGTACGCAAGTATGTTTGTATTTGGTCTCAACTAAATTATGTAATTTGATTTTTGTCGTTTTTATTATATAATACATTTTTTTTTAAAATAGACAAACAGATACAAAAATAAATTTAATTGCGTTAATTTGAAAAATAGTTTGCTGTTATTGTGTATTTTATTAGTTAAGTTACTTAGTTTATGTTGGCAATGCTGTTAACAGACACTTAATTAGTTCAGTTTGTTAGTAAACCAATGTAATTAATTAATCAATCGCAGTGGGTAACAAAATTGAACAAAAATATTTTTGTTGTAAAAATGTGTTTTATGTGTAAAAATTGATCGACTATAGGCTAGAAAACAAACTACACAATATAGACTAGACTATAGACTAGACTATAGACTAGACTATAGACTAGACTATAGACTATTGAGAAGACTATAGACTGGACTATAGACTAGACTATAGACTAGACTATAGACTAGACTATAGACTAGACTATAGACTAGACTATAGACTAGACTATAGACTAGACTATAGACTAGACTATAGACTAGACTATAGACTAGACTATAGACTAGACTATAGACTAGACTATAGACTAGACTATAGACTAGACTATAGACTAGACTATAGACTAGACTATAGACTAGACTATAGACTAGACTATAGACTAGACTATAGACTAGACTATAGACTAGACTATAGACTAGACTATAGACTAGACTATAGACTAGACTAGACTAGACTATAGACTAGACTATAGACTAGACTATAGACTAGACTAGACTATAGACTAGACTATAGACTAGACTATAGACTAGACTATAGACTAGACTATAGACTAGACTATAGACTAGACTATAGACTAGACTATAGACTAGACTAGACTATAGACTAGACTATAGACTAGACTATAGACTAGACTATAGACTAGACTATAGACTAGACTATACTAGACTATAGACTAGACTATAGACTAGATTATAGACTAGACTATATATTAGACTATAGACTAGACTATAGACTAGATTATAGACTAGACTATAGACTAGACTATAGACTAGACTATAGACTAGACTATAGACTAGACTATAGACTAGACTATAGACTAGACTATAGACTAGACTATAGACTACACTCTTTACTTGACTATAGACTAGACTATAGACTAGACTACAGACTAGACTATAGACTAGACTATAGACTAGACTATAGACTAGACTATATACTAGAAAACATAAAAGTCCATTTTCTGGCTAAACCAGTGCCTCTAGGGCCTAAACAATGAAAACCTGTTATCACTTTTGCTTCCTACCAAAACTCGATTTTGAGTGAAAACATAAAATTCCATTTTGTGGCTAAACTAGTGGTGCTAGGGCCTAAGCAATGAAAATCTGTGATAATTTTTATTTCCTACCAAAACTTGAATTTGAGTGAAAACATAAAAGTCCACTTTCTGGCTAAACTAGAGCCACTAGGGCCTAAACAATAAAAATCTGTGATCACTTTTGTTTCCTACCAAAACTAGATTTTGAGTAAAAACTTAAAAGTCCATTTTCTGGCTAATCTAGAGCCGCTAGGGCCTAACCAATGAAAATCTGTGATCGCTTTTATTTCCTACCAAAACTCGATTTTGAGTAAAAACATAGAAGTCCATTTCCTGGCTAAACTAGATCTGCTAGGGCCTAAACAATGAAAATCTGTGATCACTTCTATTTCCTACCAAAACTCCATTTTGAGTGAAAACATAAAAGTCCATTTTCTGGCTAAACTAGAGCCGCTAGGGCCAAAATACTTAAAAACTGCGATCACTTTTATTTCCTGCCAATACTCTATTTTGAGTGAAAACATAAAAGTCCATTTTCTGGGTAAACTAGAGGTGCTAGGGCCTAAATATAAACTCGATTTTGAGTGAAAACATAAAAGTCCATTTTCTGGCTAAACTAGAGCAGCTAGGGCCTAAACAATGAAAATCTGTGATCACTTCTATTTCCTACCTAAACTCCATTTTGAGTGAAAACATAAAAGTCCATTTTCTGGCTAAAATAGAGGAGCTATGGCCTAACCAATGAAAATCTGTGATCACTTTTATTTCCTACCAAAACTCCATTCTGTGTGAAAACATAAAAGTCCATTTTCTGGCTAAACTAGAGGTACTAGGGGCTAAACAATAAAAATCTGTGATCACTTTTATTTCCTACCAAAACTCGATTTTGAGTAAAAAGACAAAAGTCCATTTTCTGGCTAAACTAGAGCCGCTAGGGCCTAAAAAAACTCGATTTTGAGTGAAAACATAAAAGTCCATTTTCTGGCTAAACTAGACCCGCTGGGGCCTAAACAATGAAAATCTGTGATCACTTTTATTTCCTACCAAAACTCGATTTTGAGTGAAAACATAAAAGTCCATTTTCTGGCTAAACTAGAGCCGCTAGGGCCTAAACAATGAAAATCTGCGATCGCTTCTATTTCCTACCAAAACTCGATTTTGAGTGAAAACATAAAAGTCCATTTTCTGGCTTAACTAGAGGTGCTAGGGCCTAAACAATGAAAATCTTATTTACTACGAAAACTCGATTTTGAGTGAAAACATAAAAGTCCATTTCTGGCTAAACTAGAGCCGCTAGGGCCTAAGCAATGAAAATCTGTGATCACTTTTATTTCCTACCAAAACCCGATTTTGAGTGAAAACGTAAAAATCCATTTTCTGGCTAAACTAGAGCCGCTAGGGCCTAAACAATGAAAATCTGTGATCACTGTTGAGTGAAAACATAAAAGTCTATTTTCTGGCCAAACTAGAGGCGCTAGGGCCTAAACAATGAAAATCTGTGATCACTTTATTTTCTACCAAAACTCGATTTTGAGTGAAAACATAAAAGTCCATTTTCTGGCTAAACTAGAGGTGCTAGGGCCTAAACAATGAAAATCTTATTTACTACGAAAACTCGATTTTGAGTGAAAACATAAAAGTCCATTTTCTGGCTAAACTAGAGCCGCTAGGGCCTAAACAATGAAAATCTTATTTACTACGAAAGCTCGATTTTGAGTGAAAACATAAAAGTCCATTTTCTGGCTAAACTAGAGGTGTTAGGGCCTAAACAATGAAAATCTGTGATCACTTTTATTTCCTACCAAAACTCCATTTTGAGTGAAAACATAAAAGTCCATTTTCTGGCTAAACTAGAGCCGCTAGGGCCTAAACAATAAAAATCTGTGATCACTGTTGAGTTAAAACATAAAAGTCCATTTTCTGGCCAAACTAGAGGCGCTAGGGCCTAAGCAATGAAAATCTGTGATCACTTTATTTTCTACCAAAACTCGATTTTGAGTGAAAACATAAAAGTCCATTTTCTGGCTAAACTAGAGGTGCTAGGGACTAAACAATGAAAATCTGTGATCACTTTGGAGTGAAAACATAAAAGTCTATTTTCTGGCTAAACTAGAGGTGCTAGGGCCTAAACAATGAAAATCTGTGATCACTTTATTTTCTACCAAAACTCGATTTTGAGTGAAAACATAAAAGTCCATTTTCTGGCTAAACTAGAGCCGCTAGGGCCCAAACTATGAAAATCTATGATCACTTTTGAGTGAAAACATAAAAGTCCATTTTCTGGCTAAACTAGAGGTGCTAGGGCCTAAACAATGAAATTCTGTGATCACTTTTATTTCCTACCAAAACTCTATTTTGAGTGAAAACATAAAAGTCCATTTTCTGGCTAAACTAGAGCCGCTAGGGCCTAAACAATGAAAATCTGTGATCACTTTTGAGTCAAAACATAAAAGTCCATTTTCTGGCTAAACTAGAGGTGCTAGGGCCCAAACAATGAAAATCTGTGATCACTTTTATTTCCTACCAAAACTTGATTTTGAGTGAAAACATAAAAGTCCATTTTCTGGCTAAACTAGAGCCGCTAGGGCCTAAACAATGAAAATCTGTGATCACTTTTCAGTGAAAACATAAAAGTCCATTTTCTGGCTAAACAAGAGCCGCTATGGCCTAAACAATGAAAATCTGTGATCACTTTTATTTCCTACCAAGTGAAAACATAAAAGTCCATTTTCTGGCTAAACTAGAGCCGCTAGGGCCTAAACAATGAAAATCTGTGATCACTTTTATTTCCTACCAAAACTCGATTTTGAGTGAAAACATAAAAGTCCATTTTCTGGCTAAACTAGAGCCGCTAGGGCCTAAACAATAAAAATCTGTGATCACTTTTGAGTCAAAACATAAAGGTCCATTTTCTGGCTAAACTAGAGGTGCT